CCCCAAAACCCCAAAACCCCAAAACCCCGATAATTCAGAATTAATGATTGCAAGAGAGTTAGATGGATGATTTAAATTTGAAATTTAAACAATAATAAAATAGAGCATAATACATCTCACAAGCACCGCCATAACATTGATGTAGTGTCCGAATTGTATCTAAAACTATCAATCAGAAGTCCATATCCCAAGAATTCTGATTGGATGTGGTCATACACTTTGTGAAAAGTGTATTCTTTCTGGTTTTTCCATGAGTCAGAATAGCAATAGTCAGAAATTAGCTTTGGAATGCCCGGAATGTGGAACTATAAATGAAGCTGAATCAGTCAATAGTTTCCCTAAAAATCTAGCTTTACTAAACATGAATCCGTAGGTAACGCCAACTTTACAGTAAAAACAGCAAAATCCAATCTCAAACAGGTTAAGCAAGAAACCTGTATTAGGCAGCAAGGATCTAACAAAAGCAATGAAATCACCCAGAAAAGAAGAACCCTTATGCAACTAGCACAGTAAAAAGCTTGAAGCCTTTTGCTAAAATGATAAAATTACACTTTGCATTGATTGTATCCTGTCGGATCAGCACAAGACTCATGAGATACATTCAATTTAGAAAGCTGTTGAAATTGAAAAAGAAAATATCCAAACTAAACACTAACAAAGTCAGGATCTATCATAGTCTTTATAAGATTAAAACAATGATATATTAGGCCACCTTGATATGCTAAATGAGCAGTCATAGAAGAACACAATTGATATAAAACAAGTATTTTAGGAGATCAGATAGATTATTGAAGAAAAAGAGCAGCAAATACTGCAGAATATATAGAAAATGCTTTAGAAAGAGGAGTAGTATTTGATGGATAAGCATTAATCTAACAATACTTAAATCGATGTGATCAGCAGCTTTGACAGAGAATGTAGAATAATCCAAGATGAAGATGAAATCAAGATTCTAAGTAAAATCAAGCAGAGATAAGAGATGAGTGAGAAATCTCTGTTACAAGTAGGCAAGGTAAGCTTTAATCATGTCTTCAGTGATGTAAAGAGAGAAAAAGAATTTACAAATCTCTCAAAAGTATTCAAAGATCTCTCAAATAGTAAGGATCTAGCATAAACTGCAAATTCAGCAATCAACTCAGCTGTAACAACCAAATCATCATTTTAGTAGAGTGCACCTTAATCTACATAAAATGCTACTGCTAGTTCAAATTATATGCAAGTTACTCACAGTTGGGCAAATAAAAACAAACCTGGAACTGGTTAAACAAATATTTAATAAAATAATCCACCAACTTAAGCAAACAATCAGAGTAATCTCAGAGGAGCAAAAGTTGGTACATCTTCTCTAAGATCACAATCGAAAGATAGGAGAATGATACCTTAGAAAAAGAAAAATGATAAAGCAGTGGCTGATATGACAGGGGGATCAGGTAGCAGTGGGGTTAGCAGTTCCTTTAATTTTGCTGGCTCTTTTAATTCCAATGAACTTATATAGAGTTACAATTAAGGAAACTCCTAAAGTAATAACAATACTAATGGTAACATTGTATAAACTCCAAGCAGTCAAAATAAGGGGAAAGTTTAAGAATTGTACAGGCAAACTAATAACTAATCGAATCTTACCAAGCAAGTATCCTCTTCTAGTTCTGGTGGGAACTTTGAAGATTTAGCAAAGGCTTTTAAAACTGGAAAGGAATATGCTATGAATAGTACTGGTTCAAGCAGTGCAACTAATAACTCAGCAAGTCAGAATAATATTCAAGTTCTTAGTTAATAAACCTCAGTGAAAGAAAAGAAAATTAATCCTATACCAATGCCAGTGCAATCACAATCAGCCAGCAATCTGAATAATAATGTCAGTCCTAGACCCAAGACTACTAGTTGCTATATACCAAGAGCCACTAACTAGACCTAATAGTCCTTGACAAGCCTTGACTAATAGAACAGCTCTTAAAAAGACTCAAAGCCTTTAGTTAAAAATACAAATAATAATCAATCAACAGAGAACCTTCTTTTAAAAGGTAACAATGTAATAGGTAAAAATCAGCCTTAAAGTTTAGCAGAGTTGAGGAATAAAGTAAAATCTTAGAAAAATGATGCTTTGAAGCAAGCTCTATAAACTCAAGAGGAAAATATTAACATGCTTTAGAAATACAAGACTCAGATTGATAATGAGAAGTAGATTAGCAAGCAAAATGAAGAGAATTCAGATAGGCAGTATGATAGCTAATAGTCGTAGAAAGATCCTCTATAGGAGAAAAAATAAAAGGAGTAGGAAAGAAAACAAGAACTACTATAGAAAGCCTTAGGCCTAAGTGGAAGTATCGAAGGCAAGGAAAATATGGGGATAAAGAGTTCGAAGCAAACGTAAAAGAAGAAGTATTTGAATCAGCCAGGAGGAGTGGTAACTGCTAAAAATAACAACTAGAATCAACTGACCGTCTGTCACGTTGACCTTGTAAATGACTCCTCTCCATTCGATTATAATTCAGATTAAAAGTAGAATCACGGAGGATTGGAGAGAACCTAAACTTTTGACATTTGTAATGATAAAAAGCTAATGAGTGAAGATCTGTACCCACAGTTGAATGAACATGAAATGAGAGGCAACATGTCAATTACTAAGTCCATAGTAGACTACTATCATTCATACAAGCATAATATAGGTGAAGATGATCTAATGAGTCTATGCAGAAATAATCAACAATTCATCTATGTCATTTGTAAGTAACTTTCAAATATTCTGACAATTCTATAGCCGGATTTTGCGATGGATCTTTAGGACATGTAGAGAGATTGAATGTTGAGACCATGAAATGGGAGGAATTAGCTTAAGTTTAAGTACCAAGGACTAAATTCTGTGTAGTATAAAGCCCTACACCAGGTGAATTCTACATTCTAGGTGGAAAGGATCAAAATGGTTAACGAACTGATGCTATAGAATGCTTTAATTGTCTTGAAAATAAATGGTCTCTGTTGACAGATATAAAGTTAAGAAAGGCAAGGTCAGGTTTCGCAGCTGTTTCACTTAAATATGAGAATAAGATATATGTGATAGGTGGAAACGATGGAAGAGTTTAGAATAGAGTAGAGAGTTTGAATTTAACTACCAAGTAATGGAGTAAGATACCAAAAATGAATATGAAGAGAGATGAACTTGCAGCCTGTATTGGACCAGATAATAAAATCTATGCGATCGGAGGATATGGTGGTGGTGATAATGCTTGCTTATCATCGGCTGAAAGATTTGATCCTTCCTCTGGCAAATGGGAATTAATAGCTCCAATGAAGGAAGCTAGAAGAGCTCTGACAGCAGTGGCATTGCCTGATGGTATATATGCCATTGGTGGATACAATGGTAAAGAATATATAAATACAGTGGAGAGATACGACTTCTTTGCAAATGAATGGACATAAATTAAGCCTATGAATTAGGCTAGATGCACTCTTGCTGCTGTTGCATCAAGTGACTGTTAATATATTTATGCAATTGGAGGATTTAACGGTCTTCCACTTAATGCAATCGAAAGATATGATATAACTAATGAAGAATGGGATGAAAATATACCTCCTATGCAACAGAAAAGATTCATGCATTCATGTATTATGGTAAATCTCTGATATTATTTAGCTTTAATAGAGTAATTAAACTTTTATCCTAATTTATCAACAAATCACTGCAGATAAAAATTGACGGGGTTTTGGGGTTTTGGGGTTTTGGGG